AAAAAGAAGGGCTCTTGGGAGATTTGAATGGATAGCTTATCCCTCCAAATTTCTTACTGAGAAGATTTGGAGGTAAAAGGATAGTGGGTTAAGTAATTTTTTTGTTTTTTAATTTTGAAACTACCTTGGATAATTTTATAAAAAAAAAAAATCTTGTAATGACACTTTAGAAACTATTTTAACCAATTTACTATCATACCTTAATGTTCAAGTGAGACCCAAAATGTCTTTTAAATTTCATTCATTAAAATGTTAAAATTATTTTTGGTACTATGAGAGTGTAACTAATTAAGTTGTTATTTTACAAAAAATTTCACTTTTGAAAGGGTGACAAATCCCTTCAAAATCTCTTCAAATCCTTTTAAGTTTTAACAAATTATTTACCAATTCCTCCATCTCACATCTCATATTAGTTGTCTACCTATGATAATATAACATTTTAAGGGGATATATAATTAATCCTTTTAAGTTTAAAAATGTATAGTACTAAATTGAGAGAGATTTGAAAATTCAAAAAATAATTGTGAAAAAATGGTACGTTTTGGTTTTGACTTATAAGACAACTAATTTAAAACATCCTACCTAAAATGGAGCAATAGACTGTTAAACCAATAGTGTGTGTATATATATATATATATTATGATTCGTAGTATCGATCACGATTACGTATTAATTGCAGTATAAGAGATTCGGACAAAGTCGATGTAAAATAAATGATACGTAACTTAAAAAATGATTCCATATTAATCGATACATGGTGTATTGGACAATACGACAAATCACGACATATATATATTTTTTATCTCTCTCACACACACACACATATATATATATATATATATATGTCATTATCACGATAAGCAACTTAAACTCGCGCTTCTAGAACAAAATTATACTCCACAAAAAGCATATTTGAACAACACAACACAAACTGGTTCAAATAGTATTATTTTCAACCGTTCTACCACCCAAAAATGAAATTATCCGAGAGACCCGACAGAGTGACCCTCCACGTAAACTCTTGTTGGAAGCTTTCCACCCATATAAACAATTCAAAAAACAACAAATTTTGAAATTTCAATTCTTTTTAGGGAAAGCAACAGCAAAGCAAAACCAGCCAACAGCTTTGGATTGCTTTACCGCATGAAAGACGGAGGGGACGTGGGTCCCACCTCCACCAATACAAATGACACTGACCATATACACACACACGTCTTTATCTCTGTATATCGCGTGAATGCGAGTATATATGTAAGCCAAGTAATGCTATTATGTCTTGGACCTCATAATAGTTGTCATGTTCTTTCTTGTTATGGATATGATTAGTTTCGATTTTAAAAATTAAAGAATCATTAATAAGAAGAGTTGGGTTTTGATACGAGGTTGAGAATAGCTAAACGAACTACATAAAGTTTTATTGCTAGTAATAATAATATATATATATTATTTTTAATACAAATAATCCATTTTTATAAGTAAAGAATATAATTTATTTAAAACACAATAAATAAAATCATTATATACTCTCTCTATCTCATAAAAATAATCCTTGGGTAATAAATTTTTTTTAAGGGACATGTAATTAATGCATATTCCTATTTTAAAAATTACTATATTATATTTTTGAGCTTGAATGGGTGTTTTATAAAGTTAGAAATATTTGAAATAGTAAAGTGTATTGATGGAAAAATGCATTTATCTTTTTTAATTTTCAAATAGGACAATTATTTTAGGACGACCAAAGAAAGAAATATGAACAATTAAATTGGGACAGTAGGAATATAATTTTAAAATTTAGTTTTTCATTTAAATTATATATATATATATATATATATATATATATATATGCATTCATAAGAAATTCCAAAGGAAGGAATCAAATTGAATTGTAACAAATTGGTTAGTTAGGTCTGAGTTTTGTTTTGTGCTTTATTTTGAACCTGAAATAGAAGTAACATTTCTTATTAGGAGTATGTTTAATAGTATTTGGAAGTATGGTAAAGTTATACTTGTTGTAAGATTTCTGAAAATAAAAAACATAAAAATATATTTTGTAAAAAAGTGTTAAAAGATTGAAAAAATAAAATGAAAAGTTAAAAAGGTCCACTAAGAGTTTTTGTTTTTTTTGGTGCTGTTGATTGCTAAATTTGCTATAGTGCGAAAGCAGCCGAAACATCAATTTGGTACTTTCCATTTTTAACCCTTTTTTGAGAAACTTATTGTACTATTCAAATTTCAACTAATGTTACCAAACACATTTACATATTCTTTTTCGTTAGTGTCCCAAAAAAAGAAAGATAAAAGAGAGAAAAAAACATGAAGTAGAATTGATTGATAACCAGGAGCTAACAATTTCTTACAGTTTCACTAGTTCTAATGACCGGATTTGGTTTAGTTTTAATGGTTGAGATCTGGTTGATTCTGATTCCTCCCACAACTTTTTAACCTTTTTTATTTTTTTCAAAGGATGCCACATGGATCGCCCAATTAACACGGTACACTAAATACGGTTCATTCAAATACTAAAAATTCGTCTAATTACTCAACCGTACTATGCTCTAGGGCCTAATCAATTGCACAATATACAAAACATAATTGCACAACCTTGTGCACTATAAAGGTTATGGAATCAAAATTTTGTATCAAATTGTATTTGCAATGATTTTTTTTTTTTTACATAAGATTATTTTAATATTGAGCATGCCGATGATGTAAGTTGTGTGCTCTTTTGTTTTAGGTCTAAGTCTAATTTAAAGGTGAGTTCATTGTGGTTATTATGTAGACGCTATCATGACAACATTACTCTGTATTATTATATACATATTTATATACCAATATATCATCGGCCGGCTTACGGAGATGACGATGAGAACTTAGTTTGGAATCTCTAAAGAAGAACCAGTGATCATTTGACAGGCTGTTCCGTGGGAGATAATAACAAGTTATTCCTGAATTAACACGTGTAAGTCGTCTTGTTGAGTAGCTTTGGTCGATTTTGAGGAATAAAATCTTGGTGGTGTGTTAAACTAATATACGAGGGCCAAGTCATATTTACAAATTCAACCCTTAAAGTTTATAATAATTTCAATATCTCCCCCATTATTTTCTGAAATGTAAATTTGAATTATGTTGACAGAGTCAAGCCCCTTGTTTTGATGGTTGCCCACCCAACGGTTTACTTCCACATTTTTCTTCTAGTATCACTCATCCATTCAGTGAAACTAAATTAATGCCATGTGATGTGTTAAATAATAAAATAAAATAAATAAAAACTAAATAATGTCATGCTTATGGAAATGAAATTTATAGTATAAAGATTTTTATAAGTTAAGGGCCCGTTTGGTAACTGTCTTTATTTTGTGTTTTTGTTTTGATTCGAAGTAGAAGTAGTATTACTTTAGAGTGTGTTTTACACAATTTTGAAGCTTGTTTGGTAACGTAAATTTGTTACAATGTTTTTGAAAGCAAAAATATGAAAAACATGTTTGGTTGAAAAGTGTTGCAAGTTTGAAAATTTGAATGCCTAGTTAAAAATGTAATTTTAGAATTATTATTATTATTATTTTTAACCGTGCTTTGCTACCGTGTGAAAGCAAATAAAAAAATTATTTTTATGCTTATGATTTTGGTATTTTTTTCGGAAGTGCTTCGATACCATTTAAATGACAGGAAACGTTACCAAACATACTTTGTACGCTTTGTTACGGTACACTAGCAAAAATAAAAAAATAAAAAGCAAAAGTATTAGCCAAACATACCCTAAAAGCATTTAAATGAGGGTTAAAAAAATATCCATATAATATGTATATAGAGTGTATAGCAACCTATAGGTTTCTGAAAAATTTGTAATATTTAATTTTTGAGCAAAAGTAGCATTCTATAACTGAATAAAAATAATAATAAAAAAAATAATTAAATGAAAGTGTCCATCTTTTTTTCTTCTTATTCTTATATATAAGGATATTATTGAAAGAAAAAAAATGATATTTTCATAATTTTATATCTTAAAAATTTAAATTTGTCCAGAATTTGTTACTAGTTGATACTGTAATTGACTATTGATATGGCTATTAATAACTGAGATAAATACTTGATAGACAATATTTTTTTTTCAATTGAGTCACTAAAAATCAACCATTTTCTGTAACATTATGTTTATATTTATCTTATAAAAATTATACCGTCATTATAAAATCATCCTTATTGTCTCGTTAATATTATAGACTGTCCCTTTACACGGGAGGTTGGGTGTTCTAAATTTTCAAATAAACAATAACATCCGTGCTTGGTGATATCTAATTTTAACTAGTTTTTTAACCCTCCGCCTCATAAAATTGCTGATAAACATATTAAATATATATATTTTTAACTACTGACCAAATTGACTATTTGAAGTAGTTACTCTCAAATTTTTTAATTTATCTAAACAATATACGCCATTGCAACCTAAGAAATGCATACATAAACACATAGCTATTAATAATAATCATGAAAAATTAAGAATTATTCACCCACTCTCATAAACAAGTTAAATAAATTTGTGAGTCAATTGTGATAGTTACCCCAACTTTTCTTTTTATTATTATTCCATTATTTAGGGTAAGCAATACAAACACACCACAATGTCTCGTGTACATGAACCCATAACTTAAATAGGTGACTCAGATTTTTAAGAGCATAAAAAATGAAAGATGATATATGATGTCATCACCCGTAATTAAAATATGAGATCAAAAAATAATTGAAAAAATAAATAGAATTTAAAAGAAAGATAAGTATCGGTAGATAATAAGAATTTCAAAATTTTGATGGAGGTCAATGACATTTATCAGAAACAATCAATTGGCTTTATACAGTCATATATATACATTTTTTAAGTAAACTAATTAGCGGTTTTGTGGTGGTGAGTGACCCCACTAACGAAGTGGTAACGAGCTGGCAATCAAAGTCTTGACAGACTGTTCTTCCTTCCCCTACTTTCTTTCGCCAACGCCTCTATTTTCTCTCTCTAAAACCCCCTTCACGTTTTAAACCCCCCACACTTCCACTCCATTCCCCCAACCTCTCCCTCTCTCTAGAACTTTCTCTCTCTAGACTACTCCTTTTCTCTATCTATCTATTTACTTCGTGTATCGTTGCTATGGCGGAAGAAACCCAGAAGACGACTGCCCCGGAGGCACCACCTGCTGCTGAGGAAGTGGTGGTGGTTTCTGATGTACCTGTGGCGGAGAAGAAAGAAACGCCCCCGGAACCAGAGCCGGAGGTTCCGGAGAAGCCGGCGGCGGCGGCGGCGGCAGAGGAAGTTGCTGAGGCTGAAAAGCCAAAACCCATCGCCGAGGAAGAGAAGATCAGTGAATCGGCTTCTTTCAAGGAGGAAACCAACGTTGTTGGTGAACTCCCTGACCCACAAAAGGTCGCTCTCGATGAGCTCAAACAGCTCATCCAAGACGCCTTGAACAAGCACGAGTTCACTGCTCCTCCATCTCCACCGTCTCCGCCGCCAGCTGCTGCGGCGGCGGCGGCGGAGGAGGAGGAGAAACCCGCCGCCACCGAAGAGGAATCGAAAACCGAAGAGAAACCGGAGGTCGCTGCTGATGCGCCGCCGCCGGTGGAAGAGCCAGCGAAGCCCGAACCAGAGGTGGAGGAAACGAAGGTTGAAACCAAGGAAGAAGAGAAAACTCCCCCGCCGCCGCCTCCGGCGGCAGAACCATCCGTGGCGGTGGTTGTGGCTGAAACGGTTGAGAAAGTGACTTCTGTGGACGAGGACGGAGCAAAGACGGTGGAAGCGATCGAAGAAACGATCGTGGCCGTCTCCGCTCCAGCTCCGCCACCGGAGGACGCTCCCGCGGTGGAGGAAGCCCCTCCGGCGGAGCCGAAAGAAGACGAAACCCCAGCACCGCCTCCGCCGCCGCCGGAGGAGGTCTCAATCTGGGGAATTCCCCTCCTCGCCGACGAGCGCAGCGACGTCATCCTCCTCAAATTCCTCCGAGCCCGGGACTTTAAAGTGAAGGACGCGTTCACCATGATCAAGAACACCGTCCGCTGGCAGAAGGAGTTCGGAATCGAACCCCTCCTCGAGGAAGAACTCGGAACCGAGCTCGAAAAGGTCGTGTTCATGCACGGCTTTGACAAGGAAGGTCATCCAGTGTGCTACAACGCTTATGGGGAGTTTCAGAACAAGGAGTTGTATCAGAACACATTTTCCGATCATGAGAAGCGCCAGAAGTTCCTCCGGTGGCGGATTCAGTTCTTGGAGAAGAGCATCCGAAAGCTCGATTTCAGCCCAGATGGCATTTGCACTCTTGTTCAGATCAATGATCTCAAGAACTCCCCTGGACCCTTCAAGAGAGAGCTCAGACAAGCCACCAATCAAGCCCTCCTTTTGCTCCAAGACAATTACCCTGAATTTGTTGCCAGACAGGTACACATACCCATCACTCAAAAATCTGAATTTGATTACAAATCTGAATTTATTTATATAGTTATATACAGTCACACACAAACCAATCTTAGAATTTTTTTTTTTTTTTTTTAAGTGGATTTTAAGATATTCCAATCTTAATTTTTAGGTTCTAATAATTGGAACTTATAACCAAAATTTTGTGAATTTCAAGCCATTTGTATACAAATCTGAATTTATATATATAATAACACAGTCACACACACATACATACCAAGCTTAGAACCTTTTGTTTTTTTAGGTGAATTTTAACATATTCCAATTTTAATGTTTAGGTTCTACCTATTGGAACTTAGAACCAAAATTTTGTGAATTTCAATCCATGTGAATCTTATGTTGCATTTGGGAGCACAGAATCGGTTCAATCCCAAATTCATGGCACTGCCGATTCGGTGATCCAAACATGACATTAATGTTTGGGCTCAAATCATTGTATATATGTGTCTATATATATATATATAGATATAGATATAGATTGTTTGTTTTGTATTGTTGGTTGTGGTATTAATTTGATATTGTTTTGATGGTACAAAAGGTGTTTATCAATGTTCCATGGTGGTACTTGGCCTTCTATAGAATGATAAGTCCTTTCTTCACCCAAAGGACCAAAAGCAAGTTTGTGTTTGCAGGATCCTCCAAATCTGCTGAAACCCTCTTCAAGTGAGTGAATTGCTGTTCGATGGGTTTATATCTCGTGGGTGTTTTTGAATGGTGTTTGATTGATATTAATTGGTGTGTGTTTGGACATTGGATTGTAGATATATAGCTCCTGAGCAAGTGCCAGTTCAGTATGGTGGACTTAGCAAGGAGGGTGATCAAGAATTCACCACTGCCGACTCCGTCACTGAGGACACTATCAAGCCAGCATCCAAACATTCAGTTGAAATCCCAGTTGCTGAGGTGCGAATGAGTTTTAATTTATTGGTTTTTCAATTGTTTATGTAATACAATGATAATGAGTTTTGATTTATTGGATTTCAATTGTTTACGTAATAAAATTGGAATTTGATGATTGTTGGATGTGCAGGGATGCACTTTGGTTTGGGAGGCGAGAGTGGTAGGCTGGGATGTGAAGTATGCAGCTGAATTCGTGCCCAGTGCCGAGGACGGATACACTGTAATTGTACAAAAGTCGAGGAAGATAAGCTCGTCGGATGAGCCTGTTATCTGCAACAGCTTCAAAATCGGTGAACCGGGCAAGGTGGTGCTTACATTTGACAACCAAACATCTAAGAAGAAGAAGCTTCTCTACAGGTCCAAGACCAAAACCTCTGATTGAGTTTGATTCATCGATGCGTCGGGGTCTCAAATTGAATTAATTAGAAGACACTGAATTTGCACAATAAGAAAGGGGTTCTTTTGTTATTAGAAAAGGTTTCTTTTGGGTTTTTGTTGGGATTAAATTTGATTTTGAAATTTAAAGTCAGGGGGTCATATTTATGTTTTTGTTGGGGATTCTTTTTTTCTTTCTTTGTTTTTTTTTTTTTCCTGGTGTTTGGTGTTCTGTTTTATAAGTTACTGGTTGAAGAACAATGTTGGGTATGTTTGGATGAAGAGAAAAAACTGGAGATATTTTTAGGGATGGAATTGTGTGGAATGTGGACAGAAACCTTGTTGTATTGATGATACTTTTGCCTGTAAAATTTGTGTAAATTTCATACTCTCCTCTTCTTACTTTTGTTTATATGTTTATGATAATTAAATCATTTATTTAAACAATTTTGTTCATTTTCGCAGAGATTATTTTGATTCTAATGGAATTGTGTGGAATGTGGGTACGTTTGATTCTTATGGACTACTCTCTCTCATTGGTGGGAACAATAATTTGAGAACACTCAACATCACCTTTGAAAATGAGTTATCTAACCATCTAAATTAATGTTTATGAGTTTGTATTATAAAATTTTCAGGAACATATATATTTTAAAATGATCTATTCTTACATTGCTTCAAGTAATTCGAATACTCAACATCTCTTTTAAAAAATAAAAGATCATACAATCTGAATTAACCATGCAAGTTGGTTTTTATTTTAAAATATTCGGATGAAAAAAAATGAACATTGAAGATTTCAAAATGATCAGTTTTCAAATTTTGCTTTTTTGTTTTTTCTAGTGAGGCATTTTCAAATCGCTTTCATTTCTAAATGACTCAAATTTTGGAACCACATAGTTCTAGATGTTTTTTAAGTATAAATTTTATTATTATTATTATTTAGAAAAATTGACAACAGCATTCATAAAGATTTTTATTTTTGTTGTTGTTGTTGTTGTTAATAGGTATTTTTAGTCTCAAATAAAGCATTAAATGGGGATATTTTTAGTGTCAAATAAAGATTATCAAATTAAGATATTATCTTTTCTCATTTTTATCAAATAAAGCCATACACCAATATATATATATATATATATATATATATATATATATATCAAGCACTCTGCCAAAAAGAATAAATGTAGGGTCATTTACCATAAAATAACACAATGGTTACAGTGAGATAAACATTGCTGTCATGCTTTTATTTTATGGGGTGATACCTTGATAAGAAACACATGTATTAAAGTCTGGATTCTAATGATTAAACCCACCACATCACCTTATCAAAAAAGCAAAACACAAGGCTGTGTGATTGATGATTGTTATGATCAATCTTTGTGGCTAACAAAAAAAAGTGTTGGCGTGATTATACATATAATAAACGTTATAAGAAAATTACAAAAAAAAAAAGGTCTGTCACGGCGTGTAACATTATTGTATTCCAAAGATTCTATCATCGATGGTGCAAGCTGTTACCTGCCCTTTTCATATTCCACAATAGATGGAATATCTCCTGCAGTCAAAAGCAATCTCTTATTAAAGAAAGAACCATCTTTTCCTACTTTTCTTTCTCAAATGTTTTTAGCCTTCTCTTCCCTTAATTAGGCCAACTTGTGTTTTTTTGGTTTTGGTCAGATACGTGTATCGGTCTCATAATGCATACATTATTTAGATTAGAATTATAATTCCAAAGTAAAACATTAAGGACTTACTTTTTGAATTCTTACCAATGCCGTTATGTCCCTCGGAGAGGCCACCTTTCTTCTTGACCTGTAATTTTATATACACTACACACGTATAATCATGGTTTACCATATCGGTTCATAAACAGTGTATTAGTCGGCTTGTAATCTTGAAAACTGGGCTTACACCATTATACACATTCATGAACCGATTGATTCAGCTGGTTTACATCGTCCAAGTCCATTACACTGCAACCACAACTAATACTGTGACTGTGAACCATGTGTATAATATACATATATAAGTAAATTACACTGAACTATCTGATGTTTTATTACTTTGACCTCACCTGAGATTTAGCGCGTATGCTCAATAACATAAAAATCCATTGATATGCAAAGTATCATTTTTCTTATCAATCTCTTTTTATTAAATTTTACAATAATAATAATAATTATTGTTTGTTAATGACATTTGATTTAGTTTATTTTTAGGGTTTGGATTAAGTTTCAAGCTAACAGGTTTAGGGGAGATCAAGTTAACGGTCCATTCATATTTAATTTGCTAAAACCTCATAAAAGGTCAGTATAATTTATGAATAATTTGTGCCATTGCAAAAACTTTTTTGTGTCGACAGTACACGCATAATTATAAACAATTTAATGTGATCGTTGCACGTTGTAACTCACTCAAAATTTTTTCTCCTTCGGTGGAGCCCATTTGAACCCACTTGAATGCATGAAACGGGGAGCGATGTTTGGAGAGATTATCATTGTTTGAAAAAGTATTGAGATTCACATAACTCGTAATAAGTTCAAGGATTAAAATCAAATGTACACACCCACCTTATAGTTCTTCGAAAAAGTACAAAAATGGGAGAGAGTCGAGATATTACGGTTTGGATGCACTTGGATGGGGCCCAAGTGGACCCTACTTGAATGAATCAAATGAAAAAGTCTAGCGATTGATACCTCATCATAATCAGTCCAACAATAAATAATTGATATTTGCTTCTGGTAGGAGGGAGATTCGTTTGTAATTCATAGTTTCATCTAATAATTCTGTATTATTTATTTATTATTATTTATTTATCAAATTGTCAGTATTTATTTTATGAAGTATTTGGATGGATAAGCATAAGTTGAAATGTCAAATACATGTAATGAAAAAGATAAGCATTGAAATTTTCAATTGCATTGGCTCAAAGGAACATGTTACTTTGGACCTTTGGTTGCCCCAAGAGACCGCAAAGTGGTTGTTAAGGTCTCTTATTGTGTTTAATTATGTTCACTTTTGGTGAACAAACAATGCCAACATCACTATTCTATTAACTTCTTCTTTTTTTCCCCCCTTTTTTCTCTTTTCTTGGAAGAGAGTAAAAGATTTGTCTATAGTTAATTAGAGTTTTCTGTGCCCTTGGCCACATTTATAAACAATTGAATCTAACCTGAGTTTCAATATTTTTTCACTTTTTAGGGGTTGGTGATGAGGAGGGTGTGGGGACGGATGGGGAGAGGATCCATGCCAAGGCATTTGAGCCCAATTTTGGATACTCCGCGAGTACCGTAACCTCAACAACCTCCCAATGGGAAAAGGTGAATTGTTTTTCCTGAAATGAAGAATTTTCCTTGATCAGGTAGGTTTTTTTATTTTTTATTTTTATTTTAGAGCACGTGTATTGACTTACCTGTTGAATTTCTGCCAACGTCGTTATGCCCCTAGAAACGATCAAATAGGGTTATTGAATATTTTTTTTCCAATTTTGTAATGAAATGCATAAACCCAAACTTTCTCACAATAATATGAATATAAAGTTTAAAAACATTAAAAATTATAATATACTTTTTTTCACATCAGAAAATCCATCATATATTTTTAATGTGAAAAAAAAAGCTAAGATAAGGCTTTTTTAAAATAAAGAACATTTCAATTCATAAATCTCGTCAATTTTTGCATAGACATGTACAAAATGGACCCAAAAAAAAAAAAAAAAAAAATTAGTGATTAACATTTATTGACGTATTCCTATTGTATTGTCAATTTTTGCATAGACATATACAAAATGGAACAAAAAAATAAAAAAAATTAGTGATTAACATTTCTTGACGTATTTCTATTATATTTTAATATTTATTGTACTATTGTATTTCATACAGAGTATTATATTATAGCAGAGTTAGAGTCATGTTGACGTGTATGAAAGAATCACGTGTGTCTGAGTTGAGATCCATTAAATATTACATTACTATATTTCATATCATGTCATACCAAAGTTGGGGTCACGTTGCATATGTGGAAGACTCACGTGTGCCCAAGCTAGTTTTCGTTGAATGTGATATTCTCTTTGTTTAAAATAGGATGTCTCTTTTAAAAACTGCGACTCATAATTTTTAAAAGCGACATTTTTTTCAAAACAAAGATGGTACTATTGTATTTCGTTTCATATGATACCGGAGCTTGGATCATGTTGTATATGTGGAGACTCGCACGTACTGGGATTCATTGGATGCGGTTCGGTACAAGCATAGGATCCTAGCTCTGTCCATGTCTCTTGTCCATAACCACAGGAGCCAATAAAACCAGGGTCCTGACCAAAGACTGTACTGTATCGACCAGCAAGACATTCCAGTCCATGACTTAATTAGCCCCTTTGAGCATACAAGCCCTGCACTGTGCTCTTGTCCCTCTATTCTGCTACTATTTGTAATTTATTACCAAGACCCTACGTGTCTAATACATGCTGCCACCTTCACCTTGTCTTGACCTTGTCTTAAACCCTGACAAGGCATGGTGGTCGTTGCAACATGTTCCCATGACACAGACCATGTCAACCATGGGTGCTCATCACTCCTATTCCGACCCCACACACCCTTTGTCATGGTTCAACAATTATGGTTTTAGATTTCAAAATTTAAACAAAACAATCATATAAATCATATCATATTTGGCATGTATTTTGTTTTTACTATTTTTATTTTTAAATTGTTACAATATCGATTTTAGTAATAAAAATATATTTAGTGCGATTTTATTTTATTTTACACAATATTAAAATATTTTGTAAACAATGACCCAAAATCAAAATACCAAAAAATTATTTTTTTCTTATTTTAACAACTGTTCATAACCCAAAATCATTACTGTTCATATTTTGTTTTTGATATTTTCACAGCAAAATATCGTTCCCAAACGTGCTTTCGATTTTTTTCTAAAACACTCGTATAAGAAAAATAATATTTCTGTTTTATAGCCAAAATCAAAATGCATGCCAAACAGGCCCTAAATTTGATATTTTAATTTTTGATCACTAATCATGAAACGTTTTGACACTGTATAAAATAAAATAATATTTTCTAAATTTTTTATCACTGTTCACTATTATAATATTCAACAAAAATAAAAACATCAAAAATAGAAAGCATACCAAACATACCTACGTAATGTCCCTGCGATAGAAAACAATTGTGTAAGATTTAGGTTCACCAACATAGAGGGATTTGATTCAATTGGGTTCAACTATCTGCTCATTCTTATGCTATACCCTAGAATAATGTATAGTTAACATTGTCAAGGGTATGAAAAAATAATGTCTGGCCCATGGCTTACATTATCTTCTCACCAAGACAAGGTGCATGAGGAAACCACCTCACATCATGTATTATCCCTCTAAAATAAATAATGTGATGTTGACATATGAATTGGGATTCTGACGGTTGAGT